GGTCATGGGTTCGATTCCTGTCGGGGACTCAGAATATTTCTTTGTCCCACGCTCGTGTCATGCGGATTAATTCACCTTCACATTTCATTACCGAGCTTAAAATTCACCATCTGTATTAACTTATCACAACTGTCATACTTCTTGTGTGAAGAACAGTTAAAAAAAATGCAAACACGATTTCAGGTTTCTTGTGCTGACATTTATTCCAGGTTCTTCATTAAAATTAGTGTCTGCTCTGCTTCCGATTTCTCTAGACCAGTCTTCTTCATCCAATTTCACTTTGTTGTCAGTGTGATCTTCCTCTTCCGACTCTTCGATGGAATCCTCGGAGCTTGATTTGAAGTAAAACTCCTTAGACATCAGAGGCTCAATGCTTGGTTATACTGGCAAGAGGAAAGTCTTCTCCTTCGATAAACTGAATTTCAACTTTGTTTTGATAGTCGAAATGTAGTACAGCATCATCTTGAAGAGTCGCCATTTTAAATCTCCCTGTTCAAACGATTAAATCACAAAAAGCCTCAAAATTCGCCCAAAAACTAGCTCGATGGAAACAATCCTCGATAAAAACTGTCAAACTACCTTACGTAAAATAGAAAAAAAGTGTATTAGTTTCCAGCCCCTTAAATCCCTCTTTTAACATAAAAACCTAAACTCCAACTTTTTGCGGCATTCCTGACGTTTTTGAGCTTGCTTTGGATAGATCTCCCAAATTTACCTTAAAATGACTCATCTTTAAAAAAAATTGGTAACGTGATTAAGGCTGCCCAAATGGGGACTGTGTTTACTGTATATGGCCACTCGGACAGTCTGCTAGACGTTTTCATTTTACATCACAGCCATGGAGCTGGTGCACGCATACCCTTTCATAACAGCCTATCCCTTCTATGGTTTCAGTACACGTATTTACTGCTTTTTTAATAAAACCAAACCACTATTTTACGTTTTCCGTCCATCAGTGAACATATCTTTTCAGTTCTGACTTTTTGAACTCATGCTCATGATAGTAAATCTGTACATACGAATATGAAATTTATTGGCCAAGCGATCGAGTATCATCCAGTGATATTTTCCATGGTAGTGAATATATATTAATATGAATTGATATTTGTCAAGGCACCTTCTGCATCAACCAGTAGTATTTTTACCATCATGATAACTGTGTTATTTCAGTTTTGGGAATTTTACTTGCAGTCAACTTTGTGATGAGATTGATAAACATGAAAAGAATTCCCAAGACATGATTGAAGAAGAGAAGAAAAAGATTCCAGGTACATGAAAGAAGGCATTCGCAAATCCTGTAATCTTTGCGTTGATAACTTGCTATTAACACTATACCATGTTGTAAAAATAAACTGATCTATCAGCTGATCTATGCAGAAATGCTGATAATGCTTAAATATTAATTTCTAGCTTTCAGGAAAACCTCCTTAGTGAAGCCTATTGGAGTCTTTGTACAGTTTTTGAAAGGTCTTGAAGGTGAAAATGACAACAGACGAAAGAGTTTCAGGGAAACTGAAGGTGAGAGTACTGTGGATTTCTTTACTACTCTGTCACTTAGAGATTGCCACGCACTGGAAAGACATCACGCGGACATCTTTTCCATGAGAAGCAAGGTTTCACTGGCCCCTAAGGTCCCAGTCTTTTTTTCTTTATATTTTCAGTCACTTTGAAACATGTTTTTTCTTTATTTTATCTTTATTTTTTTTCAGAAAAGAAAGGAGAATGGTAAAGAAAAATGGAGGCAAAAAAATGAATGCGGATGTAGAAATGTTCAACACCATTTTTTATGACGGAAAATTCCTGAAATTGGCAAGAATTCTGAGCAGCTTAGGACAGTAAAACGAACAATTCTGTCATAAAACCTTTTGTGTAAATAAATAACAGTTTTCACATTTCTTTATTGTTTTGTAATGTAGCTAGAGCTTATTTGGAGTTTGCATCTTGACTACAAGAGGCATTTGTTACACTCCAGTCCGATCAAACGTTCTTTTTGGATTTGTTCTCACAGTTCATAAGCACATTAAAAGTTCTTTTCCGCTTGCTCTTGCGTTCTATCGATCGCGACTGATTGTTAGCTATTTACCCTTTATATTTCACATTAGTATGGAGCGAAACTTTAAAAAACTTTATTACAAATCGCCCTTGATATAGAATTACTGCATTGCTGTACATAATAGGGAGCTTAGGCAAACCACTACGGCAACGGCAATCAGAACGTCACGAAACAAGTTTAATGAGCAGAACAATGACTTTACACGTGCGTTATAAATCTCTGTGCATTTGGTAGCCGTCAACTCTAGAAATTTATCAGCAACGTGAAATGACCAAGTTCCGCGTCTTTTGGAGAACGTAAGCCACATCAGCTAATTTGTCGTATTTCGTTTTGGAATTGATCACTGGTATTACATATTTAGTTCGACTGAGGAGGTCTTTAGACCGACCGGCGTCCTGAAGAAGTCTAGATAATTGTGAAATTCGAAATTGAGATAAAAGTTCATTTTTAATAGGTGTCGATGTCCTTGGCGTACCCGTTGTAATTGCTTAAGCTCCATATTGACCTTTAGAATGATAGGACATGACAAGTTTTGTCACTTACCTGGACTCTTACGTGTTTAAACTGTTCTTAATATTTCACTCAGTGTCTCTTTATATTTATATAGCGAGTGAGACAAATATCAGCTGCATTTTCGTTTTTAGTGTCTTGTTTAATTCAACTTAAAATAAAGTAAAGGGGCGCTACTATGGTGATTATGCTACAATGTTAATTATAACATTGCCTAACTCTCGTACCGATATTTTAGTAAACTGTGGAAGGAGAGCAAATTGTAATTTTTAAGCTATTAGTTTCCCTCAACTTCATAATTTAAGTTGAAACAGTTGCCAGATTTGACACCACAGCCATGCCCGTGCCTATTCATAATAACACTCGTTTTATAGCTTCAGTGCATTTATAGAGGACGTTTTAACAAAACGAAGGCATCATATTTACATTTAGGATAGTGCCCCTGTAACTTGATTGTATACTCTAAGCTGTTCCAGATAAGTCGGCCTCTTGTGCCTACAATCATGGACAAACGTCTTGGGACAAATTTGCACTTCTGGCGCTTTTGCGCACACGCCAGAAGCGAAGTTCACCTGCCTAACCTCGCCCCCCACCCCCCATACAATGTTGAAAACTACTACCTGCAATTTCTTCTGATTTTCAACATTTTATTGGGTGGGGAGGGGGGACAGTAACGCGTTTTTAAAAGGAAACCAAACTTCAGTAGTAAAACACATACAATTCGTTAAATTACGGTCCCTAAGACTTTTGTCCACGATTGTAGCTTTAAACATACCACGCATACACATCAACACATGGCTTGCCTCTATTATCTGCCTTATAACAGTCACTCCAATCCTGTCCGAACCATATCTGTATCTCCTGCTTGCGTGACACAGACGCTACATTAAGAAGATCGCGGAAAACGAGCCCTGGAGACGTGTGGGTAGATCCATTAATACTGTAAAAGTGCTTTTTGTTGTTACAACCACTGTGTGCTTGCAAGTCTCCAGCAGGTGGCAGAATGGGTTCTTTCTTTGCATTGGTAATGATAGTCATTAAGCTGCTGTTGCCATACAATGGTTCATTTGTGCAGCCCCCGTAGGATGCCGGTTTATTTGGGTTGCATATGATCGAGCCCGACTTGTGAACGAGCTTCATTGTCTTGAGAAGTCCACTCTTTGTGATGTTAAAGGCACCATACTGGTTATCTCGTGCTCCAAAGCAAACAGGCTCAGTGTTTATTTTAAGCCAGGTCTCTAAAAATTATTAAAGATAGACTTACATTATGGAAGACTGTAGATTCATGTTCAAAATCAACTCAATCGATGCCTAATAAAGACTAAGCCGAGGTCAGCTCACTTCTCTGCAGTGAGTTACATTTGGATCTTGCGCAAGTCCCTCTCGATCTCGGTTTTCATTTGAGTTTCGAAGGTAAATTTGCATTTGACGTGGTTTTGCATTACTATGCTAAGCGGTTGGTTCTAAAAAATGCTTAGTGATCAATTTGGTTTTGGTGAGGTTCACGTTTTATGCCTATTGCGGTGCCCAAGAGGAACTCGCAATCCTACTGTCAAGGTTGCTGTTAGCTATGTGCGGCTCGAATGTAGCGAGATTCCAGCGCATTCCTTTGGATTTCCCACTAAGAATACAATGAAATGCAGAAAACGCAATCTGATCACGAGCGTTTTGCCTGCGATCCCTGAAACTTACTGCATTCACGCCTGTATTAAGCATTGAATTTGCCAAACACAGGGACATCCGCAGCCCTTTCTCTTCAAATTGGGTAGAGCTTCAAGGTCCCAATCTTGTTTCGCTTGCTCATAAAAGCCGACTCCTTTCCTTTCATTGAGACAATTACAAGTACTTTCGTTCGCATCGCTTTTGCCTAGCTTTCTCCTGACGCTGAGACGATGGTATTTTTTATGTTAAGTAGCAAATTACCAACTTTTTTTTCATTTAGTGTTTTGACTAATTTAAGTGTAATTAGTAGACTCAATGTTCTCCAGTCAGCGCGAAATTTCGACGATTTGGAACGGGAAATTTCCCATTGAGTTACAATCAAACTCCTGAAGCGATTTTCCGAGTCCGCTTAAATAGAAATCGTTTCCGAACCCGTCAGGCACACCGTAGAGATATAATAAATAGCTTACTAACCTCGTCTTCTCGGTCCGTACTGTAAGTTACGGATCCTCGTTTTTCCCTTTCGATTTATGGCCCAAGCGCGAAGCGAAGCGCGCGGGTCATAAATCGAAGGGGAAAAACAAGGATCCGTAACTTACAGTACGGACCTCGAAATTGGTTAGTAAGAGGTATTTAGTCGCCTAAAAAGTGGAAAGCTTTGACATAAACGTTGAAGAAAATAACTGACCTTCCACTTCTCTTATACGTCGCCAATGTTAGCACTTGCTCATCCCGAACCGGTTTTTTTCTCACTTTATTTTCATGAAATTGAGATCTTGCAAAAGATAGATTCAAGCGGGAGTTCAATTATGCCTAGTAAAGTCTACACTGAAATTAGCGCAATACGAAATAATAACATACTCAGGCCTTGAGCGTCCTATGGCGCGACCAGGACTGATAATGATAAAAATAATCTATCTTTTCTTACCTACCTCTGAAGCAGAAATTGAAAGGGGTCGATACCAAGGGTTATCCATCTTTAATTTTTTAAAAAAAAAAACTTTAAATGAAACTCGATATTAACGAACAGCCGCCCAGCACTTTTTTGCATCAATGTTCTCTTCTTACATTTCATTACTTGACAATCAAATCAACTAACACTAGTCTGAAAAGGAACTCAATTTTCCGTGATCGTCTACCCATCAATAATAACAGGTGGAATCTACAATGTTATCCAAAACAACCACTTGCTATTTTACCAATTGATCATTTTCTTACCTTGTGCCACTGCCAAAAGCACGCCAGGTCCTTTATGCGTCGAGGTCTGAAAAATTTGCTTGCTTAAAAAAGTGATCTTAAAATTAGCTAACCACTTTCCAAATTCTTATTGGCCTATTTTATGTTAATAACATTTTTTTTTTTCAATCAACCCGTTTACTTTGTTCTTATATAAGCAACGTTAGTATGGCTTCTGTTTTGGCAACCTATCTCCTTATTTTCAATTAAGAAAAGACGCGTTCGAAGACAACACAGCTGTCTTCGGGTCTTAGTCCAGCCGCTTTTCATATTTTGTTTTGACAGGTTGTGACTCACTGGCTGTATCTCAATGTTTGTTTACACCATACGTGATGAGGCTGTCTAAGGAGCAATTCGTATCCATCTATTGCTTCTGTTACATTTAATCGACTGAAGAGCAAAGCAAGAGTTCTACGCTGATATTTATAGCATATATTTTAAATTCAGTGGTTAAGAGTGAATTTTTCTAATTGTCGAACATAAGGTGGCACAAGTCGAAAAATCGATTTTTTTCATCCACAAATAGCCCCTAGGCAGATATGAAATGTGATATAGTTTTTTTAAGCTCGAAAGGCTTTAAATTCGAGGCAATCGAGAAAGACTATTTTCACCTTAAAGGTAGCCAAAATGGCCGATCGCAAAAGTTGAAAAAAGAAATCTAAACTAAATTTGCGTTTTCGTGTAAAGGAGAACCAAAACTTAGCGATACTTTTTCTTGAAAGGCAAAGTATTCAGCTTTCGGAAACTTGAGCGTCATTTATCTTAGTTGCAAGTCAAGCTTTCATTCCCGTGGAATTTACTATACAGTATGTGCCTGTTTTATCAGCCTCTTATCACGGGAAGACGTTGTATTTACCTCATAGAGAAGAAAACCCACGCGCTGGTGAATAAAAATGAAAGCTCACCGAGCAGGAGTAAGCTTTACATCTGTCATACAAACAAACTGAATCATGTCTTACTCCTGACGGGTACAGTCCTTAGAAAAAGCAACCAAAAGATCGTCTCACCTTGACATGACATGTATCAATTTTAAAAATTTCAAATTTCTTTTACCATTTGAATGGAAAAAGAAGATGACTTCGAGGGACTAATGAGTTCACATATGTATAATATCCAGTCCACCATTCCGACAATTCCAGTATAGTTCAGTTTGCACATGCGCATAAGCATCGCTTTACAGTGCCACGTTGTCACATGTAGTCGGCTTAGTGTTTTGTCTTTAAAAGCATTTATTTAGAGAAAGAATCGCGGGTTTTACACCGGTAACACTACAACACTACAAGTAGTCCCTCTTTTGCTTAGTCCGTCGAGCGAGACGCGCTGGGGGCGAGACGCGCATGAAAGGAGGGACTACTGCCTAAGCCAGGGAGTTTGAATTATGCGTTGCTCTCACAACTCAAAAATATGATTGGCATATATTAGGAGCGTTGGCAACACGTTTTCAACCTTCGAGATACGTGTGACGTATTGCAGGAATGTTTATCTCGCTCTCTGAAAATAGAAAGCTTTGGAACCGGAGCAAATCGCGTCTCACAGGCCGCAATGTTCTTGTGATTCTGCCAGCAGGTTATGGAAAGAATTAAATTTATCAAGTGTTTTGTTTGACAAAGCTTTTCGCCTCGAACCCGAATGCGAGCGTGTTAATGATTTCGGCGCTCAACACTAGGTCAACAGCATCGTCGAAGAACAATTCCGTTAATATGAATTGACTGAGCTTGGCCTTTCTACCGTCCGTTTGAAAGATTAAACCGGCCTTTCACTTGAAACAGGACATTTGCTTGAAACTTTCCGCTGCTATCAGCAAACATGTCACTGCAGTTGGAAGATCTCCTATGTCAAATCATAATGTGCATTCCTGGTTGAAACTCTGCATTTGAAAATTTCGCAATAACTTTTAAATTCACGCCTACAGACACGGCTAAAAATCGTTACAAGATGACTTCTTTGCCGTCGATAATGAGAGGACGTATCCTATTGGGCACGTGTAATGAGATTATAAAATTTACACCGAAAAATCACTCGGAGGTAGTCCCTCTTTCTTCATGCCCCCGGGAGTTCCCGCGGCCATTTTTTTCTCGCGGTTTTCTCTGGTGTCGCGCATGACGGACTAAGCGAAAGAGGGAGTCTATTGCACTGGCGACGAGGAAAACACGCTCGTTTAAACAACAGCAGTAGAAAAGAAAGCCAGAGAAACCTAGCAAGCAAAGTTTGAAGCCCAGCGAGAGAAGCAAGCAAGCAAAATACTACAACGCGTGAATCGATCGATCGACAAAACATATTTGACAGAACAAGCAGATACCGGCCCAGCAGCTCCAGTGCAAGTTATTACGGCAACGAGAAATCTGAAATCTCAACCATTTACCCTAGGAGATGACCCGATAGCCAAAGGAAAATCGTACGACGACTGGCTCAAAGAAATTGAACGGGAATTCAGATATTTTAAGATTGCGGAACCATTTGACAAAAAACGTGCACTCATCATTTATGGACGGTCGATCAGTGTAAAGCTCCGTCTGACTAACGGAAAGCTGCCTTGTCCAAAATATCCAAGAAAGGTGATCGGTCTATTTTATAACAACCATCGACGGACATCCTTACTCTCAGTACGATGCAAGATCTTCTGTCGAATGCTACTGATCCGGATGCAGGAAGAAGTCGAGCAGAGATTAAGGCAAGAACAGATCTTCATCCTTAGAAATATCTTGAAACAGAGTGCTTAGTGGCAAGCACCCTTGTACATCGGTTCAATCGATTTCAAGACAGCCTTGGATTTTTTTCAAGGCTTTAATTTCACAACTGCAATGATTAATCATGTCCAGATCAGAAAGTGTGGTATTGTGTAGTTCAGAAAATGTCCATCCCTCCCCAATGGAAGGCATATTTTCAAAACTAAGATATACCCCCGGTACTGTCTGAAAATTCCAATTAACTTCATACATTTCTTTAAATGTATTGATCTTACAGATCTCTCTTTCCCCACCCCCAGGAAATTCCAATCCTTTCTTTGGGGAGAGTATCGATATTACCTTGGAGCTGCACTTTGTTATTTAAAATCATACTTTTTCCACGTCGATTCAGAGCTACTTGTAAGTAGCTTTACAAAGGAGCATACAATACTGGAAGACACATCACCAAAGGTTCAATCGGTAACGCTTGGTATTTATTTATGTTTGGTGTGATATAACAAAGAGTTAAATTCTTCTCTGACATTCTCCCTTGCTCAGACTTAAGCCGAGACGCGCGGTTCAATTAATTCACATTCTTATATTTATAGTTTTTTAGACTTACTATGTCATACTGTAGTTTAAAATGATACTTTTGTTTAAGAAGTTGTCAAGATTACAAACTTTTGGTGAGAGCCTGGATGTTAATTACTATTACGAACCGAGCCAGCAAGAAAAAAAAAAAAATTAAGAAAAGTGGCAACACATTTAAAGACGCCTCGGTAACTGCGTGACGCAACATTTCTACTATTCTGCAAATTTCATTCAGTGAATCTCTTCCTACATTTTTTTCACAAGATTTAATACAAGAGAAGGTAAATATGAACCGTCATTACGTTAACGTTTTCAGTGCCTTCCTTGAAATTAAACTTACGTCATTTTAATACCTTATCTAGTCCCGACAAGTCAGAGGCTTATGTCAGTTTAAACATACCACGCATACACATCAACACATGTTTTTCCGTTGTTGTTGTATTCACTCCAATCGATCCAATCCTGTCCGTACCATATCTGCAATTCCTGATTGCATGACACCGACACCTCATTAGGAAGATTTGCATTTGACTGAACCAGACTTGTGGACGAGCTTCATTGTCTTGAGTCTACTCTTTGTGATTTTAAAGGCACCATACTCGTCATCTCGTGCTCCAAAGCAAACAGGATCTGTGTTTATCTTCTGCCAGTTCTCTAAAATGAATTTCAACGATAGGTATCAGAAATGAAAAAAAAAAAACAAAAACAAAAAACAAAAACAAAANAAAAAAATAGAATAAAATAAAATGAAAATAAATATCTGATAATAAAAGGTTTCGTAAAACACTTAAGAATGAAATAAGCGATATAAAAATTGAACGACGTTTAGTTGACTCCATGTCATCATTATCAAGTTCGAAATACATGATAAAATTGAATAAATATAAATAGTAAAAATGGTGTGAAAATATTTAGGAAATTAAGAGGGTGTTGAAGTATTCAATTGTTATGTAAAGAGTTTAGCGCGATTGAATCTGTGTGTTAAGTTTTGGTTTAATGTTCCTGATGAACAACATCTCATAGATCAAGCAGTCAAACTTTGTGCGGCATTTCTTTAAAACTATCAATTGGTCTTGTAGATTAGTGGTTTGCAGCTTGTGTTCTTCTTTCAGGTGTTTACCAGTAGCAGAATGTTTATGTTCGGCGATGCTTTGAAAGAGATGTCGGGATGTATATCCAACATAATCTGTATCGCACAGATCACATGAAAATTTGTAAACAACGCAATGTTGGTTGATCAGGGGAGGTTTGATCTCTACCACTTTGATGTCATCAATGATTTTTCTACTGGTAAACACTGGGCGCAAATCACTTCCAATTTTCATGCTAAGTTCGCTGGGATCTTGTCGTACAGCGTCAGGCGATATCTGATCTTTGAAAGACAAGACAATTCTAATGGGCTGATCTAGTGGGATTTCGTGCTGTGGTTCGGCTTGATCTTGTGACAGTTTTAAAGAAATGCCGCACAAAGTTTGACTGCTTGATCTATGAGATGCTGTTCATCAGGAACATTAAACCAAAACTTAACACGCAGTGAGATACATTTCGCGCCAAACTCTTTACATGACAAATAAATACTTTAACACCCTTTTAATTCCTTAAATATTATCACACCATTTTTACTATTAATATTTATTCAATTTTGTCATGTATTTCGAACTTGACGTGCAGACATCGAAACGTCGTTCTATTTTCATATTGTTTATTCTCATTCTAAAGTAAAAATAAATAAATAAATAATAATGATGATGATATTAATAATAATGATAATGATAATGATAATGATGATGATGATGATGATGATGATGATGATGTTGATAATACTATATCAAACACCTTTTGGAGACGACGTAACTATAAATCATTAAGACTTTTTGCCCCAAAATTGATTGGTTGATCGATTAATTGATTAATCTCTTAATTATCTTTATGAAGGAGATATAATCTATTTTGAACTACTTAACCAATTAAAAAAAACATGTTGCACCTTCACACCGAGCCAGGATTGTCTGACCATTCCCATCAGAGTATATCCAGTAATCCCCGTTAACCATCTCATTTCCTTCACTGGCCTTGATCTCACTGCACGATTCAGCAGGAAGCTCTTGAATGGAGCCAAGACGGACTGCGTGATAAAGATGGAAACACTTAAAAGAGATATTATTTCAAGATCGTGCAGAAGTAGTTTATTTTTTATTCAAATGTTGGCAAGAAGAAAACAGATGCACTTTGTAGTTTAGTAAACAGGTCATATTCCCTTGCAGAGCTCCAATAGTCCACGTTCGATATATCAAAATTCAAACATGAGACCGAGCTTTCTGCCAAACTTCTATTTTTGGTGTTATTTGCTTGTCTGTTTTGTATTTTATTCATTGTTATCAGCTAATTTTTTTATGGATCAAAGTCTCTTTTGGGAATAACCAGACAGTGGAATCTTACAATAATTACAAATTCGAAGTCCTGTTAAAATTTTGACATATTGAACATATGCTATTGTCGCGCACGATTTTGTTGCTACAAACGAAAGCATTAGTGCGAGGCTGCTCTTTTTGATCAGAGATAACATGACCGTCACCTGGATGCGCCAAACTGTCTTAACCTCGCTCATTTTCGTTCGTATGTAACGTAATAATATTTTGACAAAGAAATACAATTCAACTTCTTCATCTAACTCCAGTAAAGTTCATAGGCGCCTTATTGCTTCCTCGAATGGTAATGGGAGCTCTCGACTGCGATTTGTGCTCCTTGTTATCACTCTGGAGAACTACAACAATTTTCATCTTAATTGTTCAATCTTCTCTTAAGTCTAAAATAGAAAGAAAGGAAGCAATTGTTGGCCTAGAATGCTAATAATATGTACATTGTGTTCAGTGTATTCTGCTTAATTGACTGAGTTCTGGGTGAATATATAAGTACGTTGCTCTTGAGATTTTGTGTTCGAGTGCCTTGTTTCGGAGGCGGAGCCTATAACGAGACTGCTGAGGTCAAGAGGGAAAAAACTCATCTTGACTACTCCCCGATCTCCTGGCGGCTTCCCAGCTTCCATTGCAGTGTTTATCGCCAAAACAAATTGCTTGCAGGCAAAACACAGGTTAGCATTCAAAATGGCTGCATTGCTAAAAGAGAGACAAACAAGAAAGAAGAATTGAAGTGTACCTCTGTTTTTTGCCCGTTTCATGTAGAACCTTGTCTGATCCGGCTTGAAATCTTCAGGTCTTGCTTCTTTGGTTCTATTGTNTTTTTTTGGATCAAAGTCTCTTATGCGAATAACCAGACAGTGGAATCTTACAATAATTACAAACTCAAAGTCCTTTTAACATTTTGATATATCGAACATATACTGATTGCCGTGCACACTTTTCTCGTGCAAACGAGAGCGTTAGTGCGAGGCTGCTATTCTTGATCAGAGATAACTTGACCGTCACTTGGATGCGCCAAATTCTTTTAACCTCGCTCCTTTTCGTCCATATGTATCGCAACAATGTTTTGACAAAGAAATAAAATTAAACTTCTTCATCTAACTCATTAAAGTTCATAGGTGCCTTATTGCTTCCTCGAATGGTAGTGAGAACTCTCGACTGCGATGTGTGCTCCTTGTTATCACTCTGGGGAACTTCAACAATTTTCATCTTAATTGCTCAATCTTCTCTTAAGTCTAAAATAGAACGAAAGGATGCAACTGTTGGCCTAGAATGCTAATCATATGCACATTGTGTTTAATGTATTCTTCTTAATTGATTGAGTTAATTTTGGACGAATGTATAAGTACGTTGCTCTTGGGATTTTGTGTTCGAGTGCTTTGTTTCGAAGGCAGAGCCTATAACGAGACTGCTGAAGCCAAGAGGGAAAAATCTCATCTTGACTACTCCCCAATCTCCTGGCGGCTTCCCAGCTTCCATTGAAAGGTTCACCGCCAAAACAAATTGCTTGCAGCCAAAACACAGGTTAGCATTCAAAATGGCTGCATTGGTAAAAGAGAGACAAACAAGAAAGAAGAATTGAAGTGTACCTCTGTTTTTTGCCAGTTTCATGTAGAACCTTGTCTGATCCGGCTTGAAATCTTCAGGTCTTGCTTCTTTGGTTCTATTGTTCAGTTCGCAGAGGTTTTGACCAATAACGAAATTGTAGCTTTGACAGGTGACTTCTTCGGCACACCTGAAATAGCAGCTTTCATGCCATTCAATCTTGTACGTTTTAAAGGTGTGGCCTCTGAGGAACATTCCTCTAATGGAGTATTCCGCTGCCGGTTGACACTGGCCAGCAGCTTGAAATACACCAATCCGGGACATCAGGAACGCAATTGAGAGCCAGAACTTTGGATTCATATTTAATTGAATGCGTCACGCAGTGCCTTTTAATTGCTACAAAAGAAATAAAAACGTTTAAAACGACGTGTTAGTGACAGTTATTAACACTACTATGGAAATTTACCTCTCTGAAAAATCGAAGGTCCCGGCCATGCTGTCATCGTTACCTCCTTAGTTAATTTAAAAATTCATATTTTTAACGTGATCACTTTGGCACGGTGGAACTTGACCAAAGTAACAAAGAGACTCTTAATTAAGGTTAGTGAGCCGATGGAGATTCTAAAAATTGATAGAAAACATTTTGTAGAAAATTCGTTGTCTTTTTCTACCTTTATTTTTGAGGCAGAAACTAAAACAGCCTGGTGCCAGGGGTTCCTTCCGTTAGTTTCTCATTTTATTTCTGCTAGCTGATAAAAGTATTAACGACGTTACGTTGCAAGAAACATTTCTACTATACTGAAAACTTCATTCAGTGAATCTCTTCCTTCGTTTTTGCGTTAAGTTACAAGATTTAATACAAGAGAGGATAAATATGAGCCGCGTTTACGTTAACGTTTTCAGCGCCTTCCTTGAAATGAAACTTACATCATTTCAATACCTTATTTGTTCCCGATAAATCAGAGGCTCATGTGATTTTAATCATACCACGCATACACATCAACACATGTTGTACCATTGTTGTCAACGTCAGCACAATCGATCCAATCCTGTCCGTACCATATCTGCAACTCCTGATTGCGTGACACCGACACATTATTGGGAAGATCGCGGAAAACGAGCTCTGGAGATGTGTGGGTAGTTCCATCAAGGCGGTAATAGTGGTTTTTGGTGCAAGAATTGTGTTGCAATTCTTTAGCAGATGGCAGGATGACTTCTTGCTGTGCATTGGTAATGATAGTCAGTAAGCCGTTTTTGCCATACGATGGTTCATATGCGCAGCCCCAGTAGGATGCCGGCTCATTTTTGTTGCATTTGATCGAACCCGACTTGTGGACGAGCTTCATTGTCTTGAGAAGTCCATTCTTTGTGATGTTAAAGGCGCCATACTGGTTATCTCGTGCTCCAAAGCAAACAGGATCTGTGTTTATCTTCTGCCAGTTCTCTAAAATGAATTTCAACGATAGGCAGCAGAAATGAAAAAAAAAAAACAAAAACAAAAAACAAAAACAAAAACAAAACAAAAAAAAACAAAACACAAACAAATACAAAACAAAACAAACCAAAACGAAACAAAAAATAATAATACTAAAGCAAACACCTTTTGGAAACGACGAAACTGTAAATCAAGGAAATGAGAAACGCTCTATCTTAACAGAACTAGATCGCAGTTAAGAGTAAGTAACTGTTGGGTCAAACAATTGCTGACTGATAAGTTCACCCTAAGCAAGAGTTTGTTTCGCGTCATACATTTGGATCTTGTTCCACGCCCTTTCTGCTCAAGGGACTATTACAACAATGTTAAGATGTTATGTAAAAGGTAAGTGCTAACCTGACACAATTTTAAAAAAATATTTGTTTCTTATTTCATGCCTTCTCACTATTTGAAACTAATAAGGTAAACCCGTTTACTATAAAAGCAGTTGCTCCTGTCCAAAGATCCCAAGAGTGGACAGAAATCTAACAATTCTGCAAATCAACTCTCACCTCTTGATTGTTTTGCACGCTTTGCTTTATACTTGTGCCGTTGAAAACAGCAAGACTGCTTGCTACAAAATTGATTGGTTGATCGATTAATCGATTAAATTCCTAATTATTTTTATGGAGGTGCTACAAGGTTGAGCTACTTTACCAATAGACTAACATGCCGCACCTTCACAGCGAGCCAGGATTGTCTGAGCATTCCCATCAGAGTATATCCAGTAATCCCCGTTAGTCATCTCATTTCCTTCACTCGCCTTGATCTCACTGCACGATTCAGCAGGAAGCTCTTGAATGGAGCCAAGAGGGACTGCGTGATAAAGAAGGAAACACTTTCAAAAAGATATTTTTTTCAAGATCGTGCAGAAGAAGTTTATTTTTTATTCAAATGTTAGCAAGAACAAAACAGATACACTTTGTAGTTTAGTAAACAGGTCATATTCCCTTGCAGAGCTCCTATGGTTCACGTTCGACGTATCAAAATTCAAACATGGGAGCTAGCTTTCTACCAAACATCTAGTTTTGGTCTTATTTGTTTGTCCATTTTGTATTTTATTTACTATTGTATCTCTCAGTTACTACGTAAGCTGTGAATGATCAATTTAGAGGGCGACTCTACTGTACAGCCCGCTAAAATTTAAAGCTGTTTTTATTGTCAAAATGTTTCGTGATTTATCACCAAGTGTTCTTAACTTTTATAGCAAGTAAAAGTTTAAATCTTTCTTTTATTATAAATTATGTCTTAAGAGTGTGTCCATGAGAAAACCAGGCAGGAGGTGATACAGCTCAAGTCACTGATTTCGCTCAAACTTGGTACAAATGTTGGGTTTGGTGAGTTAATGACTATGGCAAAAACTTAGGTCAAAATATTTTATTCCCTTCAAGTTAGGGCGACCCCCTACAAACATTGCCGTTTGTCACTAATTTATGCATATTTAATTAGCTGTCTTTGATTTAGTATTTCTACAACAAGAAAGGCCATGTGAAAATGAAATCCACTGGATCATGTTCTACTATTATCAGTCTCAGAGCACAGATATTCATTTGAACTAGACAATTTGTTTTCTCTCCGTGCTCCATCTTAAGTAAGGTGAATATTTCGTGGTGTTGTGAATAGCCTTTTAAAATTGATGGCAAATATCTGCACTGGGCAACAGCAAATACACATTATTCTAATATGAATAAAGAGAGCTATTACTAAAGTTGTCAAAAAAAAGCCATAAAATGTTTGAATATTTTTTCTGTGTTGGCATACTGTTTACGCAGGACTTCATGATTTTTGGCCATTTCATTAGCATCCACCAAAACACAAACGCTATTTTTCTGTCATAACCTAACTCGAAATCAACAAGAAATATCTACCTAAGTATTTTCCTATCAATTGCCAGTTTAAATTCGGCAAAAAGAAACACTTGAAACATTTCTTTCATATATTTTCAGAGCTACATTTTGGGGCGTTCTCACGATATAAAACGCGATAGAAGAAGATTCAACTCGTAAGTTCCCTCAACTTAGGTTTTCAGGCGTAAAATAGAATGGAAAAGAGAAATAACTACTACATACATGTCACTTAGACGCGATTTTGCGCTCTCGTTGATTCTTGGATTGCGAAATGTCCATTTTCGTGTCATCTGTTCCGTTGCTTCGACCCGAAGTTTAAAGAAAATATCCATTTCCATCCCGATTTGGTCATCAGAGATATCAACATTTGCTGATAAAGCTGCTCAAAAGGCCGTTTAGAATCCAGGAAGAGCCATCACTGCTGCAAGTGTTATAGCATACAGATTTCTTTCAAAGCCCACCACACAACATTCTGCCATCTTTGACGATATTAAGCGGTACAATTTGTATCACCACACATGATGTATCTGCCGAAATGAAAGAAGACAACCGCTGACTTTTCAACGGGTAAGTTAAAGATGGCGAAGTGTTTTGTGATGGATTTAAAAGCAATCTGTATGTTAAAACAACAGTGATCGCTCTCTCTGTATTTTAAACGGCATTTTGAGTAGTTTTTTCGACAAATGTTGATATCTCTGATGATGAAAGCGGGATGGAAATGGATATTGTCTTTAAACCTCGGGGTCGAAGCAACGGAACAGATGACACAAAACGTTCTGGACATTTTGCAGACATTAGGCAGACCCGTGAGAATGCCACAAAATGTAGCTCTTAAAATATATAAAAGAAATGTCTCAAGTGTTTCTTTTTGCCGAATTTATACTAGAAATTGATAGGAAAGTACTTAGGTAGATATTTCTTGTTGATTTCGAGGTGGCCATTGACTCCTGTGCCGGCCGTAACCGGCCGTGACGAACCTTGGCCTTTCTTCCACTTCTGACGTCATCACCTTTGACCAAAATTGGCATCATCTATGCTCAACGTCTGCAGCAGGAAAAGATCTTTCCAATGATACCCAGATCAGAGTGATCGGCCCAATGGAGCCTGAGATATGCACAAAAATGCTGAAAAAGTTGAGTGAAAAATTCAGAGCAAAATTCCTTGCCACTACACTTGGCTACTCCTTGGCAAAAATCGCCCGTCTCGATGATTTCTCAGAATGTTTTAAACTGAAAGCAAGCCCGGTAGAAGGTCAATTACTGCAGCAAGAAGAAAAGAAAAGGAGGAAAAGGGAAGGCGAAAAAGAAAAAAAAAATCGAAAAGCCTAAAGACGTAGGTCACTTTCATTTTGATTTCTGCGCATGCCCGAGCAAAAATGTCGTAAAACGCGATGCTAGTGGAAAGAAAGGCATGCTGTCATGTTGCAAATGCCTTTTTGAGTAGCCTGAAAATCTCCAAAATGTCCAAAAAATGCGTTTTTGGCGAGAAGCTCCAGGAGTCAATGGGTTAAGACAGAAAAATGACTTTTGTGTTTTAGTGGATGTTAATGAAATGGCCAAAAATCATAAAGTCCTATATATGTAAACAGTATGCCAACATAGAAAAACTATTGAAGTCCCCAAACATTTTATGGCTTTTTTGACAACTTTAGTGATTGCTCTCTTTATTCATGCTAGAATAATGCGTATTTGCTGTTGCCCAGTGCAGATATTTGCCATTGATTTTAAAAGGCTAGCTATTCACAACACCACGAAATATTCACCTTACTTAAGATGGAGCCACGTTGAGAAAACAAATTGTCTAGTTCAAATGAATACCTGTGCTCTGAGACTGATAATAGTAGAACATGATCCAGTGGATTTCATTTTCACATGGCCTCTCTTGTTGTAGAAATACTAAATCAAAGACAGCTAATTAAATATGCATAAATTAGTGACAAACGGCCATTTTTTGTAGGGGGTCGCCCTAACTTGAAGGGAATAAAATACTTTGACCTTAGTTTTTGCCATAGTCATTTACTCACCAAACCCAACATTTGTACCAAGTTTGAGCGAAATCCGTGATTTGAGCTGTATCACCTCCTGCCTGGTTTTCTCATGGACACACTCTTAAAACCTGCTAACCACTTTTAAAACAACGATTTGACACGTTTTGCTTTCGACGTGCTTCTGAAATTTGAAGCTGTTCCGCGTGAATAAAAATCGTTCCCGAAACCCGTCAGACACAGAGTCGAGATATTAGAAATATCTTACTAACCTCGTCTTCTCGGTCCGTACCGTAAGTTACGGATCCTCGTTTTTTCCCTGTCGATTTATTGCCCGCGTGCAGAAATCGAAGGGAGAAAAACCAGGTCCGCAACTTACAGTACGGACCTCGAACTCGGTTAGCAAGAGGTAATCACCAATTTTTTTGGATCCAGACTGTGGGATTTTAAAATAATTTTAAATTCGAAGTCCTGTTAAAATTTTGATACAGGTGTATATCGCGCATATGCTGTTGTCGAGCACAATTTTGTTGCTGCAAACGACAGTATCAGTGCGAGGCTGCTATTCTTGTTCAGAGATAACGGGACCGTCACCTGGATGCGCCAACTTATCAAAATACGTGACCAAACAGAAACTCGGTGTAATATATTCGTAACCGGAAGTTGTGTTAAGCTGTTGTATTACCCAAGATGCTTAGAGAATAAAGTTGTTGTGTTGAGCAAGCCTCGTGAACATGTTGTTACGTCATCAAGCCGTACTTTTGCTAGTATGTTTCATTTTGGCGGCGAGGATGGGATACGCTACATGCACAAAGACGCATGAGAAACCCAGTGAAAATTTGATTTTCTCTGTGTGAGGAAAAAAGTTTGTTTTCGACCGAGGCAACTTGATCAACGTTTGAGCACGTGCTATCAAAATGGCGGGAATTGGATTGTTTGGTCGTGTCGGCGAGTTCAGCCCTGAGCGAGAGACTTTTCGTTCCTATGTGGAAAGAATGGAAATGCTCTTCATGGCAAATAATATCATGGAAGAAACAGGCGAGGGTAAAGAGGAAGCCAATCTCGCAGTTGCAAATAGGAAACGTGCTATCTTTCTGACTGAGATTGGACCCGAAGCATATTCTAACCTGAGCAATCTGCTGGCACCAGTGAAACCAAAAGACACTCCTTTTGCGGACATTGTCAAAGCATTGGAGAAACATTACAATCCAGCGCCATTGGAGAT